CAAGTCTTAACATAGGTGTGAATATTAGGAGTAATATTTATACTGGATTGACCCACTATGAGAGTGCTACATAGAATGTTATGAAAAGTGTCATAAGTTAATCTCATGGTGATAGTGGTGTATACCACCCTTCGACCTGAAACCACTATGGACCCTAAATATAGAGTCGAGTACTTTATTGTTGATCAAACATTGTTCGTAACTGGATGACCATAAAGACAGTTGATGGGTACTCCACAATGCATGTTAAGGGACACGAGTGGCCTAGATGGAATTTCCCCTTCCTACATAACAAGATAAATATCTAAGGGCCCAATATTGATTTGGACAAGACACGATATATACCTTGTGTTCAATACAAACATAAGGGCAAAAGGGTAATTATACACATAAGTATTATCACTAAAGTTTTTGTCAGATCACATGACATTTTCGTGACTTTGGTAATAGTGATGTGTTGCTAGATACCTCTAACTATTTATTATGTTAAATGCATGATTTAATATAATTGTCAACGTTGCAAAAACCTACAGGGTCACACACATAAGAACAGATTGATAAGAGGTAGAGTAAATAAGGAACACTGTAAGGTACAATGCACTTAAGTAAATGTAAAACACTGTAAGGTATTGTGCACTTAAGTAGAATACGAAATATGGTAAGGTACTACGCACTTAGGTGATATAAGGTATACCATAAGATATGGTGTGTATACACTTAAATGAGATTTTTAGCTTGAAGCATACACAAATGGTTCTATAAATAGAACCCTTCTGCAAAAGCATACTCTCTTGATAAAAATTTGGATTATGAAACTTTAACCGTATTTCCTTTTCTCTCTCGGTCTCTCTCTCTCTCTCTCTCTCTCTCTCTCTCTCTCTCTCTCTCTCTCTCTCTCTCTCACACACACACACACACACACACACACACACACACACACACACACACACACACACACACACACACGCACACACACACACACACATACACACAAACAAAGCCTTCAATCATAGCAGCTATCACTAAGACTGGAGGAATCTGTTCATGTAAATTGAGTAGAGGCATTGTTCATCGTTCAACGCTTGTGATCACTCTTTCGATTCAACATCAAAGGTTTCATTGCCATAAGAGGTAACTGTTTCTATCACTGATCATGATCATTCGTAAGGATCACTAAAGGGAAAATTTTAATTTTCGATGCGTTTTAGATCGCGATTTCCCTTTATTGTATTCATCAAAACTAAACTAAGATAGATGATGAACATCTTCTGCAAAAAAAAAAATAATTGTTTATCTAACAATGATATCACCAGATCAAAAGAAAAGAGACGCCAGAGAAAAAAATAAGAGTTCAGTTGTTATGGAAGTTCTAAATACGAACTGAAAGATATAGAAGATGAATGATTCTAACTGATGTATACTCAACTTCTAAAAATCTCATCAAGTAAGGTTTGAGACCATATATGTCAATGTTTAATTTTTCCTTGTATTTATAGTATCCATGCAATGGTTTATTATCTAAAACATGCATTATTTTTTTAATAGTTTATTGGTCTAATTTATCATACACACTGAGACACTTGTTTGTTGAAACTCTGAGTCTTTTTAACTCAACATTTAATTAAATTATTTGTTGTTAATATTTTTGAGCCTTAACCCTTTTCATTGGTCCATATTATAAGCCTATTGACTTGAAAGATTAATCTTTCTACCATATTTGGAGTTAGATAAAAAATTTAATTTTCATTGCTGATGCAAAAAATTAAGTTTGAGGTTGCTCTTGGAACTATAAACACTTTAGGTTGGGGTTGAGGTATTAGAAAACATGATTAATAAAAGTAAAGAAAATAAAGAAGTTAAAATGACTTCTTCATAAAAAAATGAAAAATGAAAAGAACAAAGAACAAAGAAAAAAAAACATCCTAGATTCGCGTCCTCAGGAGCACACTGCCACGACTTCACCAACCTGCATTGACACTGCAGCTGCCATGCATACCATGTCTCTTGCTCTTCCAAATAACACATGGTACACAGACACCGGAGCCACGCCCCACACAATGACATCTTAAGGTAATCTCACGAGTCATTTAAATTAGAAACTAGTTGTTGGAAGTGGAAAAGGTATTCAAATTCAAGGGTATGATCATACAACCTTACCTACAACCCACAAACACAAACCATTAAACCTTAACCATGTCTTACACACACCATATATTATTAAAAATATGATTTGTGTGTGACAACTCACTACTGACAATAACATTTTTATCTCTTTTGATCCTTTTGGTTTTTCTGTTAACGATTTTTAGACGGGGACTCCTCTCATGATATGTGATAGCATTGGTGATCTCTACCCAATCACCTCACCCTCTAATTTTGCTGGTCTTACTTCCGGTCTCTGGCACAGTCATCTCGATCATCATAATTTTTCTATCTTGCAGACTCTTCATAGAAATAAGTTTCTTATTGGTGAACTTTTGAATTTTAAGAATATTTGTGATTCTTATGTGTTTGGAAAACATGTTAAATTTCCATTTAATTCATCCAAAAAATCTACTTTAATGCCTTTTGATATTTTACATAGTGATTTATAGGCATCATTTGTTTTAAGTTCTTCTGGTCTCAGTATTATGTTTTATTTCTGGATGATTATTCTAATTTCTTATGGACCTTTCCTATAAGGGTCTGTTTGGTTCAAATGAGGGGGAGGGGAGGGGAGGGATTTTAATGAAGGGGAGGGGAGGGGAGGGGAGGTGAAGAAATTTTTTAATCAAATAAGTGTTTGGTTCAAAAGAGAGGAGGGAAGGGGAGGGGAGGGATTTAAAATGTGTTTGGTTCAGAAGGGGAGGGGAGGGGTTTTATTAATAATTTACATTTTTATCCTTATGATCTTATATAAGTCATATGATATTAAAATGTGAAAAATCTGTGCGTAGTTTTGTTGGTAATAAAATTTCTAATATTGAGTGATTAAGAAAATATTTATTTGTCACTAAAGTTAAAAAATTGAGTACAATCGATTCGACTTATAACTTTCATACATAAATTAAACTATATGCCAATAACATCGTTTAAATTGTGATGAATCATATAACAAAACAAATATATAAAATAACTTATTACTAAATATTAATGGTTCAAAATATTTAATAAAATGAATAAACAAAAATAAATAAAATGATATGGTTTACAATTTGATATAAAAGAAAATATGATAGAGTACATAACAAAATTAAAAGAAAAAAACGAATATAACGAAACATAATTTTTTTTATAAAAAAAAGACAATGATTATGATTTATATTAATTATAAAAATTATAAAATAATTTGAAGGTGAAGAACAATTATAATAAATTGATAAAAACAATCGAGAAAAAACAGTAACATAAAAGATAACAAATAGTTTTGAAATAATAAAATTAAACTGAGGATATTTTAGTAAATATAATAATTTTTAAATATCAAAACTAATATTCCCTCCCCTCCCCTCCAAATCCCCCCAATTCGGAGGGAACCAAAAAGTGTGTTTTGGAGGGATTTTGCTCCCCTCCCCTCTCCTCCCCTCCCCTCCTAAAATTTGAACCAAACATATTTAATTAAAAATTTCCCCTCCCCTCCCCTCCCCTCCCCTCCCCTCCCCTCCATCTACCCCGAACCAAACACACCCTAAGTAACAAATCTCATGTTTTTGAAAAATTCACTTCTTTGTCTAATCAAATTCACACACAATTTTCTCAAACTATAAAATATTTTCAATGTGACAATGAACGTGAATATGACAATACATTGTTTCACAAATATTGTGATGATAATGATCTTATCTTCCATTTCTTTTGTCCCCACACTTCATCTCAAAATGGCAAAGCCGAATGTAAAATACGCACTACTAATAACATGATTCACACACTTCTCACTCATTTTTCCGTTCCTCCCTCTTTTATGGCATCATGCAATTCATATGGCTATGTATCTGCTCAATATCTTTCCCAGAAAGAATATGTAAATCACTCTCCAACTCAACTACTATATCATCTTGATATCTCTTACACATATCTTCATTTCTTTAGTTGTCTCTGTTATCCCTTATTCACACCCATTACCATTAATAAATTACAACCCCGCTCGACTCTGTGTGTTTTTTTAGGGTATTCCCTTAGTCACAAAGGCTATAAATGTTTTGACTTGTCACACTAAAATATTATTATTTCGTGCCATGTAATTTATGACGAGACACAATTTCCCTTTACCCACATATCATCCCTAACTCCCTGGCTACACATGTTTCATTGATGATTTACATCCACATATTCACTACAAGAAAAACGATGGATTGCGACGGTTATTTTGGCAGGTTACGACAGTTAAAACCACCACCAATTACATTCTACGATGGTTGTAGTACCGTCGCAGAAACGTGTGTCCCCAAACTGTTTAGCGACGGTTGAAAAAGCTGTCACACACAACCGTCATTATATTTCACGACGGGCTTGAACTGACCTAAACTGGAGATAGCGACGGTTAAAGACCGTCGTTACTAGCCTTTTGATTTTTATTTTCATTGTTGATTGTGACGGTTTAAAACTGTCGTGAACTCTATTTCACGACTAGTTGGAACTGACATAAATTGGAAATGACAACAGTTAAATACTATCGTGAATATCCTTTTAATTTTTGTTACCATTGTTGATTGTGACGGTTTAAAACTGTCGTGAATGTGATATCTTGACGGTTCATTATTAATTTTTATATATTGTGTTATATTATTTTATAATATATTCTTTTATTTAAATTATTATCTACTAAAATAGTTATATCATTTTTTCTTTAAATTATTTATACAATAATATTTTTAATCTTCATGATATTCACACAATAAACACAAACATTAAAAAGTTTTCAATCATTAACCTTGCGTTCTCTAATTTTTTAACCACATCACACATAACATGTATACAATATCTAAGACAAAAAATAAAACACTTTGAAAATGACATTGTCACTAATATGAAAATGGAGCATTCATTGACTGCGAATAATGAGAATCTTCAGCTAATTTAGAAACATCTGAATCAACAGCACGCATCTGCTCATCAAGAGTTTCTGTCACTGTCACTATACTATTATTCTGTCCATAGTAACTATTATCTTGAAGATATATTTTAATGCCAGCTTGAGAGTCTTCAATAAATGACCTGATCAAAAGCAAAGAATGCATAACGTGAGCTTTTTAGCCCTATATCTGAATAACATAAAATATATAAAAAGAGTCCTGCAATGAAAAATAACAGTTGGCCTAACAGTGACATGCTTATTTTCAGTTGTAGGGGAAATTTTTAGTTGGCCTAACAGTGACCCAAAATCATTTTCAACCTCTTTTTTTGTTCTGAATACAACAACATATATTTGATCGTGTAAATAGAGGGCGTGGTAGATACAATCTTACCTTAGACAATTATTGGCTTTGACTCTTGTTGATTGTCACAGCAAAGCACAAGATAGGAAATTGTCTTCTTTGAAATTTAAAGAGTTTTGATTTTTAATTATTAGAGCAACTGTAAGTCTTATTTATGTTGCCGGTACATAGTTATTTCTAATTTTTCATAGGTGAAACATATTGATGCTTATGCGCCTAAGGATTTGCTGATCGTGACTACGGGTTCTCAAATAAGTTATTTTTAAGGTCCTCTAAAGGCCATCTATATCCATCTAGCACAGGCAGGGAACAAATTTATGGCATATGAATAAATATTTGCTATTGTGTCAGGCAGAACCCCGTGCTGCCTTAAATCTTGCATCTTACCTTGCATCTTTCGGAAGTAGTCGTGCTTTCAAACTGACAAAGGAAGACATTATGTTGTATTCTGTTATATTGACTATTTTTCATTTCCTATATAGTCATTATAATAGACTCAAAAAGCTTCTCACTATGATCTCGCAGCAGCGATAAATATTAGTAACCGAATAATGTACCTGTGGCATGTCAACAGAATATCTGATATCATCAAAGGTGAGGGATAGAGGTTCAAAAGGAAGAACCATTCCTTTCCTTCCTATACTGCTAGCTTTACAACCCCTATGAAAACTGTTCTCTCGATCGCTACTATTGGTTGCACCGAGGCACCATTTACAACCCCTATGAAGGTAACAGCCGCATACATTGATCCTATTGCATTGAATAGATCTTGCTCATTTGTCCTGTGATTATCAATGATATAACATTGTTTAGAATTTCATTTTTCACGGTGTAGTTATTGTGAGATCAATGTAATGATTCCATTTCCATATACCTTTTCAAGCCAACATCCCAAAAAACTAGGCCAAATAATAAACCCTCCATGATAGTAAATAAGAGTCTTAACAGCCGTATACGATGTGTTCCGCCAATATGATAAGTGTTGTTTCCATAGACAAACTATACATTGTGCCATAAAAGTTTGTGAATATTGAGCATCAAAGTATAGATCTTCTGAATCTTGAGAAGGAGCACTGAGCTGCTGAATCAACTGTTTATTTCTCCTGAAGTATCAAAATCATAAAGAATAAAGATACGGAAAACGAAAAAAACGCGAGTTTTTACTAGAGTCTAACCTGTGTAGTTCTGAGTTATTGTGCACATCAGTGAAGTTGAGTTTAAGATTTTCTTCTGATCCTGCTGATGTAACTTCCAACATCCATGTTGCAGGATTATAACCATCTTTGATCTTAGGAACTCCTTGAATAGCCTATAGTATTCATGCACTAAGTGAATATGCTTATGCTACATAAGCTAATAGTTAATATGCACAATCTCATTTACATTTGATTCACCTCGAAGTACTCGATTAGATCGAAACATTGGGCGCCTATTGGACCAGCATATATCTGCTCGCCACCCGATTTCAGAAGTAGAAGCTGAAAATTTTGACATTGAAACACTTCATTATTCAATATTTAGTACTTTTTAAAACAAAATGGTGGTTGAGGATTCTTACCTCATCAAACGCGTCAAAAATGTCGATACTCGGCTGATGGATCGTGCAAACCACGGTACGTCCTGTGTCCACGATGTTCCTTACTGTTCTCATTACTATAGCAGCTGCTCTAGCATCAAAGCCGGAGGTCGGCTCATCCATGAATATTATTGATGGATTCGCCACAAGTTCAACCGCAATTGTAAGTCTCTTATGTTGTTCGGTTGAAAGTCCGTTCTCGCCAGGATATCCAACAAGTGCTTCTCTTAATGACTTAAGTTCTACTAGCTCCATAACTTCCTCAATAAACATCTGCATTTCGTGAAATCGGTTCAAAGTTGATAAACTATAACACCTCAATTTATCTAATTTGAAAAGAAAAGAAAATTATACCTTTCTAGTTGCCAGATCGACTTCAGGCGATAAACGAAGCCATGCAGAATATAGCAAAGATTCATAAATCGTAACATTGGGTGAATGGATATCGAATTGTTCGCAATATCCTGATATGCGTGCGAATGTCATTTGGTTCTTTGGATAGCCAGAGATTGTGATGCTTCCTTCAATGTAACCACTAGTTTTTCTCCCAGCTAAAACATCCATTAGAGTAGTCTTTCCCGCACCGCTTACGCCTATTAAAGCTGTTAGTACTCCAGGCCTAAATGCACCACTGATACCCTTCAAAAGCTTGAGACGATCCTCACAAACTCCTTGATTTTTCATTTCCTATATAGTCAATATAATAGACTCAAAAAGCTTCTCACTATGATCTCGCAGCAGCGATAAATATTAGTAACCGAATAATATACCTGTGGCATGTCAACAGAATATCTGATATCATCAAAAGTGAGGGATAGAGGTTCAAAAGGAAGAACCATTCCTTTCCTTCCTATACTGCTAGCTTTATTTTCGCCAACTGCTTCGTCCATCATTGTATCGGATTTATCATCAAAATCAGCTGTTGAAGCATTTCTCTCTTGCAATTTCTCTTGGGACAAACCTGCTTGATCCTTTCTGAATGCTGCAAAGGAAGCATAAAAGATACAGAATTATATCGTCCGGAGAGAAGTTCTGAGTAAATTTCACAACACAAATTAGAGATAAATATGTACTTACGACTGAGATAATACAAAGCCAAGGCGAAGAAAAAGTTAAATAGAAAAACATAACCAATCAAAGCTCCAACTCCAATCCAATACCAATAAGCTTGTGGGAAAAATCCGGGAGATTTTAGTATCAATACTCCTAATGTTTCGTTTGAACTAGGAATAACCTGCAACATTCAAGGAAATTCTCAACAAGCAGGAGACCATATGCAGTAATATTTTGATTCACCAATGTGATCACCATATGCAGGAGACCACCTAATTCCAGCTCACCAATGTGATCCCAACAAGCATGACATAAACCATAATGATGTTTGGCATCTTCAATGTCCACCATTTATGTTTTCATTCAACAGTTGTATGTAATAATCAGCAAAAAACACAAGCCGGCCTACATCAATTATTGAATAGTAAGTTCTTTGTGGACCATCATAGACATGAATGATATCAAGTATCATTGAAATGTGACATGTATAACTTTTTTATGCCAAGTTGCATTTCTATTAAACTATGAGTATCGATTTCTTCATAAATTGAAAGAATTAAAGATTACTCACAAAAACCAGGAGACCATATGCAGTAATATTTTGATTTGCTGATTTAGGCTCACAACTTGCAAGCCTGAAACATCCTGCGGAAAACAAAAATCAAGAAAACGGAAAGGTTCAATGGAATTATCATCTTAGACCGCATAAATTAAATCATCCTCGGATACACTTACTCTCTTGAGCCGTAGAACCTGTTCTGCAGTAATATCTGCACGCAACCAAGCTCCGCGATGGACCTGAACGGAGAAAGAACAATGAAAATTAAGATTCCGTTAAATTGTAAGAAATGGAAGAATTGAAGCGAATATGAGGACTTGCCGGACGGTGACGGGAGAGCGAGTTCTGAGGAGAAACGGTGAGGAGGATTTGGGTTTTGCGATGGTGGATTTGATTGGGGAGAACGCTGGTTGTGAGAATGATCGGAAACGAGAAGCCATTGGAAAAATTAGCGCCACCTGAAATTTTACAAAGCTAGGGTTGTGAGGTTGAAACTGACGCAAAGAAAGGGTTTTTCGGAGGTTTTATTTTTTTTATTTTTTTTTTCAATTTTTATTCTTCTCCTTGTTTTTTTTTAAGTTAGTATTTCATAATAAATAAATAAAAAGAATGGTTTAGTTAAATTAAATTTAAGAAGAAATTGAGGATATGTGTTTGTTTTAAAAAGTATCATAATAATTATTTTTAATTATTTTATTGAACAGGTATGAGATATTAATTACTACATAAACTTAATCAAATGATCAAAGTCAGTTTCCTCTAATTAAGAGAACATAGTTTCAAACTAAATCATGTCACGCAATATAGAGAATAGATAATAGTTGAAAGAAGAGGGTAACAGTGAAACCATGATCCTGGATGAATGTGAATCTCCGACTGCTTGAGAAGAATCCGGTACAGTGTCTCACGGTGGAGAAGAAGAAAGAAAACTACTCAAATCAAAATCTATTTGGTTCATTGAAGAGCTTGAATGAAGGAGAGCTTGAAAATTTCCCTCAACCTTCGTTTCCAACTACCTCTGCCGAAAAAAAGAGTATGTGGTCGACGATGAGGTTGCTTGAAACAAAAATATTAAGCTACATTGTCATGAAAATTATAATTATTAAATTAATTAATAAAATTGAAAAGGTTGGAAAATAAAAATGAAAGAAAAAGGTGAATAATTAAAGGAATAAAAAAATAATGATTATGATTGGCTAAACTAATTGCGACAGTTCGCCTTAATTGTCGCGAGAGTGGAAAGAGAGCGGTTCTTTGGTAACTGTTGCAATTATTTTATACAACATGCCTAGAAAATCTGTGACGGTTGACTCAAACCGTCGTGAGAACTGTCGTAGTTCAGAAATAAGGACGGTTTTTTTATAACTGTCGCAAAAAATCTACGACAGTTGACCCTAACTGTCGTGACAACCGTCGCAATCCAGGAATAAGGACGGTTTTGTGATAACTGTCGTAACTCAAGTGTCGTAAATCTTCTTTTTTCTTGTAGTGATTATCCACCGGTGGACAAATACCACTTTTTATCCTTATCTAGTAACCCTCATAGTCTTCCACCTAACACTCCATCTCTATCCCCATGCCGACCTCACAATACTTCTCTTACCACCACCACAACATCCTTTTGCACCTTTTTGGATTCACCCGATACCTCTTCATCACATACACCACCGGCCCCGCCCACACCTCTTACTAGGATCATGGCCACCCGTAGCATGAAGGGCATTTACAAACCCAGGAAAATATTTAACATTTTTGTCACCATTGATGATTCTACCATTTTATCACTTCCTAAAAGCCTCCAACAAGCCCTATCTAACCCTAACTAGAAATCTGCAATGTAGTATGAATTTAATGATCATATTAAAAGTAACATGTGGGATTTGGTTCCACGACCTTGTGATGTTAATATTACGTTATATGTGGATATTCCGTCATAAAAAGAAATTGAATGGTTGTTTTAAGCATTACAAAGGTAGTCTTGTGGTGATGGCATGTCTCAAGTTGTAGGTGTTGATTGGGATCAAACATTTAGTCATGTGGTGAAACTGACGACGATCCACACACTCCTCACCATTGCTTTATCCAAATCCTGGTCCATACATTAACTAGATGTCCAAAATGCATTTCTCCATAATGACCTTCATAAGACAACTTAGATGCACCAGCCACTAGGTTTCTGTGGCCCTAATCACCCAAATTATGTGTGTTGCTTGCAGAAATCCCTGTATGGTCTAAAACAAGCGCCTCGTGCCCGGTACCAGCGCTTTGTGGATTTTGTCTCCACCATTGGATATCAGTATATCATTTGAGATCACTCACCCTTCATCTACCGACGTGGCTTTGACATGGCTTACATCTTACTATATGTTGATGACATTATCCTCATCACCTCCTCCCATGACCTTCGCAAATCTATCATGACGCTCCTTGCCTCTGAGTTCACCATGAAGGATTTAGGGTCACTAAGTTACCTCCTGGGGATTGTCGTGACCAGACACACTAGTGGACTATTTCTAAGTCAAAGTACTTATGCTAGTGATGTTATTGCTCAAGCTGGTATGACATTATGCAAACCTTATGCTACTCCTGTTTACACTAAACAAAAGCTCAGTACCTCCGTCGAAACTCCATATGATGATCACATCTGATATCGGAGTTTTGCAGGAGCCTTGCAGTATCTCACTTTCACCTGCCCCGACATCTCCTATGTTGTCCAGCAGGTTTGTCTTCAGATGCATGCTTCATGCACCGACCACATACGAGGCCTCAAATGCATCCTCCATTATGTTTAAGGCACCCTACACAACGACTTGCATTTTTATCCATCCCCTATTGAGAAACTTGTCTCTTATACTGATGTTGACTAAGATGAATGTCCTAACACTCGTTGCTCTAGATCTTGTTATTTTGTATTTCTTGGTGACAACTTCATCTCCTGGTCATCCAAGAGACAGCCCACATAATCTCGTTCCAGTGCAGAGTCTGAATACAAACATGTTGCTAATGTGGTTTCTGAATCTTGATGGCTACACAACCTACTCTACTTCATTTCCTACAATCTCATGCTAATTTGGTGTACTATGACAATGTTAGTGCAATTTATCTTTCTAGTAATTTTGTACAAGATCAGCGTACTAAACATATTGAGATAGACAATTAAACATTCACTTTGTGCAAGAGAAAGTAGTCTGTGACCAAACACACGTCTTTCATGTTCCTTCTCGTCACTAGATCGCTGATATTTTCACAAAAAACATAAGTTCATTTTGATGATTTCTAGACCAATTTAAATGTCTGTAAATCTTTCGCTTCGAGTGTGCGAATGTGATAGAATAGAAAATTTTATAATTATGTTTGTAATTGTTTTTCATTATGTGTAAATATTTTCCATCATGTGTAATTATTTTCTTAAGTTTGACTCACACGTTGTATCTTGTATATTATCTCTTTCGCTATTTAGAATGAAGAGGATATATCATTCTCTAATGATTATTTTTCAACATTCCCTTAGAGCATCTTTAATGGGAGTAAACTAAATGGGTAAACTAAGATATTTTTTGTGAGCCCAAAGTGTTTTGTAGGATTTAAAAAATTTATAGTTGATTTGAATAGTTTTTACTTTAACGATGGTTGTCTATAAGAAACCAAAACTTGACCCCACTATTTTCAAATATCATGTCATTATTTTAATGCTATTGAAATATTTTATTTATTAAATAAATAATATTATAATATATTTCACATAGTTAACATTAACTACATAGATAATGAAAACTAAATTTAAGTTCACTTAGATTCCATGTAAACTCTACTATAATGCAAATTCTTTATTACTAACATAAATTATACAAAATTTTAGTTTAACAACTCTACACTAAAATTGCTCTTATTACCTTCCTTTAGATTGTAGTCTTTTTTATGAAATTTACCCGAAGCTTTCTTAACACCGTGAATTTAAGTTACAAATCTTTTCTGCCAAGTATTTAGGGAGTATGTTAAGTAAAATTAGTGTGAAATGAATACCCACGATAACTAAATAAATATAGATTATGACTCAGAATTGAATAAATATAATATATTGAACCCACTATAACTAAATAAATAAAGATTATGGCAAATAATTGAATAAATTTCTCAGATTAATATATACTATATTAAACCCACTATAACTAATTAAATAAAGATTATGACTAAAAATTGAATAATTTCACATAGATTAATACATAATATATTAAATTGATTTATAGATGGATTATGGGAGTAATCCATAGTGGGTTACTCGTGAGTCGTGAATCGTGATTAACATCATTAACAAAGTACAGTATTATAAAGATTGAAACAGAAGTCTTCCGGACATAAAGTTATGGCAACAACATTAGATAAAACAAATTAAAAATGAAAGGAACTCAGCGTCGAGTTTTTGTGTTTTCTTATCCTAATTTATTGAAAAGTTTCCCTCATTATCTAGAACTTGCATCTGTCCTAAACATGTTTCAATAGAGCAAGCCATTGCTGACTCATAAGAGCAATAACAACATATTTAAATTTACAATTACTATGTTAAACAGATAGTGTTATGACCATTCACCTTTTATTTTTTGTTTAGTGATATAATGATTAAAAAAATAGATAAATGTATATGCAAAAAAATTAAAAGAACAATAAGAATAGAAAAAGAAAAATGAAAAAGCACACTAACTTAGACTCTTGTCACATGCAAAGGAATATATAGGGCACCACTTTCCTTTGGCATTATTCAATGAATTATCAAATTATTTAAACTTTAGAGAACATAACTACTATAAGCAACAGCACATTTCAAATATAAAACCAATAAACCATTTGATTAAGATCAAATCATACTTTACAAAGCATCAAACAGTAATTGTTTATATTTGTTAATCTTCCCTTTTTAAAGAATAAAGTTAATACTTTATCGATTAATATTTTTTATTGTTAACTTTTATTTCTTTGACATGTTGTGTCTACAATATTCTTAATTGTTTCTTTTTAAAGTCTCTATACAATGCTCTGAATTATTTCTTTTTAAAAATAATAATGTTCTTCGTTAATTATTAGATAAATACGAGTATACACTATTGTAATTTAGTAAAAAGAAAATTAAAATATTATTTATTCACTCTAGACTCTGCAAAAAATAACGTTATTACTTTATTAATTAATATTTTCATTTTTAGTAATTTATTTATACGTTGTCTTTTTTTTTTTTTTGACATTTTGTCTATGTGCATGCTCTGAATTGTTTTTATTTTAAGCCTTTGTATAATACACTCAATTGTTTCTTCTTTTTAGAGAATAATACTGTTAATTACTAGATAAATATAAGAATACACAATTAAATATGAGAATATACCATAGCAACTTAGTAAAAAATTTTAAATTAGTATTTATTCATTCTAGACTTTGTAAAGTATAAGGTTTAATACTTTATAAATTAATATTTTCTTCTTTTATACTTTATTTATATGTTGTAATTTCTTTTTTTTAAGAAAATGCTTAAGAATAATTTTTTTTATTATAATTCAAATAAAAGTAAGATTATTATAAAATTTATTATAATTCTAAATTTACAATAATGAATTAAATTTGTCTTTGACTAATTAAGTCACTAATTTTAAATTTGTAAATAATTAATTATAGTTAGAATATTTGCAAAACAAATTTAATTTGGAAAATTAATTTAAAATAGGTGTAAATTGTAAAATATAAAAGTAAGAGCAATAAAACTTTTGAATTTAATTGAAATAAATTTTACACACTTATAGTATAAAACTTTTTATCCTAACAATGTATAATAATTAATTTTGAATTTTTTATTTACATTTTTTACATTTTTCACGTTTAAATAACAATGTTAAGTATAGGTTTTGTTTCAACTTTACATTTGGCAAAACTAATTGTAAAAATATAAAATAATTATGGTATTCTTATATGTTTTAAGTAGAATTATTTTGAATTTAAAATATTAATTCTTATTTAAAATTAGAATTTACACTTTTTAACTTCAAAATTGATTCAACAGTTTTTTTACCTTAAATGTGACTTTTAAATTCAATTAATAATTTATATTTTAAAATGTTTTTAAGTAGAATTAATATTGACTCTAAAATTAATATTGACTCTAAAGTTTACAGTTTTTGACTTTATAATTGAATCTAATTAGAAAATAAAATTTATTTATATGTATTTAACCTAGCCAACAAATTCCAATCCAAAATATTCAGTACTAATATCTTCAAAATTGCTTTTCACTACAATTTACATTGCTCGGAACAAATTATTATCCAAAAACAAGTAAATTACTAGCACTACTAATACTAAAATATTAAAATTACAATAAATAAAAAAACTAAAAAAGTTGAAACAAAAATTAAAATCAGAGTGGATAATTATAAATTATCGGTGGTTCTTGAATCAAAATCTTTGGAAAAGACGAATCAGTTTTAAGCGAAGCTCTACACAAAGGACAACTCGAACGATTCGCGAGCCACGAGTCAACACACTCGCAGTGAAAACAATGATTACATACCGGCAACACCTTCAGCTTCTCACCATCTCTAAACGCGCTTAAACAGATACAGCACTCGGTTTCTTCCAACGCGCGATTGGAAGAATCCGTTTGATGTAGTATGATAGGAAGCTTCTTGATCGCGTCGGCGTCGAGTCCTTCTGAACGTGAAGAGTTTGGTAATGTCTGCAATGGAGTGGCGTTTGTTGCAAGAAGAACGCGGTTGCGGAAGATCCATCTGGCGCAGAGGAAGATGGCGGTGAAGAGGACGATGATGGAGAAGATTGCGACGAAGAAGAAGAATTTGCGGCCTTTCATGTGGAGAGTTGGATCTTCGGTTTCTGGATCGAAGGTCCAGTCGAATGGCTTACCGGTTTGGGACGACATGAGGAGTGTGGTGGTTTGGGGAAGTTGCGACGGTGGCTGCGGCGGAGAAATGTGGAGTGCGGTGTGAAGAAAGTGAGTTGAGTTGTTTTGTGGTGGTAATAGGAGTTTCTTAGGAAACGGTGAATATATATATATAGCATATTTATACTCGTTACTTTTCCGATTACGCGTTAATTAATCTATAACGTCAGGGATATTTTAGTTAATAGTAATTAATGTTTTTTAAATGTAGAAATATTTTATTGGAAATATTAATATGAGTCATCAAGTTAATATTATCTTTTTTAATTTAATTAAAAATATAATATCATTTAATAGAAAAACAAAAAAAAAGGTAAATTAAAAAAATATAGTATGAATTGAGACATATTTTAGAAATTAAATAATAAAATAGAAATTTTTTTGTTAAAGTTTCTTATATTTGTATTCCGGTTATCCTTTGTATTTAGTTGGCCTTTATATATATATATATATATATATATATATATATATATATATATATATATATATATATATATATATATATATATATATATATATATATATATATATATATATATATATATATATATATATATATATATATATATATATATATATATATGTTAATTAAAGATTTTAATTAATTCTAAATATATTAATTAATTATATTATTCCTCAAGCTATCAAGTAAATAAGAAGGGGAGTGATTGAATAAGATCTGAACTAATTGACTGAAAAAAAAAATGATAAAATATGATAAAATTGGTTAGATTTGTTTACATTTAGATTATTAAATATGAAATTTGTTGTTTAGAATCAATTGTAAAAAATAGTCTTTTTTGGTTAAAAAATTTACAGAAAAAAAGAGAATGTTGAATATAGAAATAAATTTTTTTTTAAATTAATATTTTATTTTAACAAAATCTGAACAAGTAGTTGTCTAAAAAATATCAAATAAAATGAGATGGGTGGAATAACTTCTATAGACTTTTGGGAGATTGATTTCAAAATTATTTTTATTAAAAAAGAGTTAAAGACTTTTTTGTATTTAAATCTTTTAGTTTATTTTCAGTAAAATACTTTTTTTACGGTTATTCAAAATTGAGATTAATTTCTCATACACCATTAATATAATTTTTCTAAACTATCAGCTTGTTAAAAATAATTATTAATTAGAATCAAATATTTATAATTATTTAATGATAATAACTAAACTAGCCTGTAAAAAATATTACACAAACTATGTTAATTTTTTTAAAGGTTAATAGTATTTTTGTTCATGTTTATATGTGATTTTTGGTTTTCATCACTTTAATTTTTTTTTAAAGTAATCCTGATGCCAAATGACACACTCAATATTTCGGTGACATTATTATTATTATTATTATTATTATTTTTTTTTTTTAATTTTTTTAAATTTCAAAGACCCCACCTCCTCCACCATTATACCTATTCATTTATTTTTCTCTTAAATAGATATAGCCTCTCGAAAGGTGAAAGGGTCTCAAGAAGTAGTAAGAAAGACATAAGCTATCAAGTCTTCTTACTCATATCTTTCTGGTGACTTGGTTGAACGATACTCTATATCACGTATACAAATATAATCACATACTCTACTTGAAACTTCAAGTTTATGGTCATTGTCGATTTCAAAGTCTGATTCCTCTCATGTTTCATGCACTACCTACATAATATTCATTAGTGACGAATCAACATCCACTTGAATTACCTATCTGTTGGAGTTGGCTAGTTCAACATTAATTGTTCATAAAAAACAACATATATAATGATTATCATCTTCTTTTTAATCGACCTAATAACTTAAACCTTTTCACACCTTTTGTGTAACCGACGAAGACACACTTCTTCAACTTTGAATCAATTTTCACTTAATATATACATAAGTTAAACACCTAAAAATCCTTAAATTGTCAAGATCAATAAGATTACCCGTCCATATCTACTCTACAACCTCCCCCCCAATGAAGCTTGTGTTGACCTATTAAATATGATAACACGACATGTTAACTACTTTTGCCCTAAAACCTTTTGATAGTACAACATTTAACAAGAGACTTCTTGTCCTTTCAATTAAAGATATATTTATTCTCTATGTCATACCATTTATTGTGGTGTATTACAAAGTGAGAAATGTCTTTGAATATCATGTCCTCCACAAAACCTCTAAAAATTTGAGTCATTGTACTTTATCGCATTATTTGACAGTAAATACTTGACTTTTTGGCCTATTTGATGCTCATCACAATCAATGCAACCTTTGTAACCTTCATAATGTCTCTATCTCTATTTGGCATATACAAGAACATTTTCTTCTAGAGTACATAGGTAAATTAAGTTCTTCCTTAATTCTAGAATATAACTGATATTGTTTAATGTTTGCACGCCACCATTTTAACACCCTAAATAATTCCCCCGTAATTTAAATAAATATCAGACCAAATTTGAATCAATACCATAATTATTTAGGATGTCACATAACAACAAACAACTGCTTATATAACATGATATGTAACACATACAACTTTTTTTTTGAAAATTATTTATATAACTATAATGACAAAACATGTTTGAAACATCAACTTTTATTAAAACAACAGAAGCAACATTATCAAATAATTATTTAGAACATAATCATGTTTTCAAAATAAATATAAGTAGCTGCAACTCAAGAGACATTCAAAATCTCCAACAAAATAGAAAAAAAAACATTAACGTTCCATAACCCCGGTGTTACACATCAGAGCAAACACTAACATTAAAAAAGAAACGAAGACTCCAGCTTCCACTCACATCAACTCCTCTACTGCGAGTTATCTGCACGATGCCCATATAAAGACAACACTCAAACAGAAGGGGTGAGATATCATAATTATATAAAGGAAAGCATAATAATAAGCAAGCATCAGATTATTACACGCAAATCACCCATTCCATAACATACACCCACACAACCAATACACCCAAAATCTAAGCACAACAAAAAATACAATCAAGATGCAATGCATTAAGACTCACAACTTTACTCAATGCATGTGGTACCATTCAGTTCCTATTTTAGAACCATAATTCCCGTCAGAGTTTCCATTACATCGCTCACACCCCATCGAGCACACGACCTCCATGATCGCTCACACCCTACCCGGGCACACAATCACCTCAACAACAACACGATTCTACAGATAGAATTCGGATAAGACACTTATACCCCACCCGAGCACACAACTTATCTCACAACTCATGCAATCATAAAATGCATGACAATAACAACAACATGCAATGACCTTCATTTAATCAAGGTATCACGCCACTATAGACTATAACACAACATGTCATAACAGCCCAACAATATCGACATACATCATAGCAAGCAACTACAAAGGCATTTACAATTATGTCACACCATAACATAACGATAATAATGCGTTTTATCGCGGTAAGAATCAAATATCAAGCTATTATATTAACTTGAATCACAAAACATTAAATATTCACCATCGGACTTTAATTTATCCAGAGGAAAGAAAAAAGATCGAATAAACCCTAATTATGTAATGTAACAATAATGCAAAGAGATCTAAAGGTTTGAGGGTTGTTTATACTAAGGGAATGTGTTAGCACCCTAAGTATCTATAGTATCCTATAGGAACCTCTTGAAAGTATTTGTACTATGCTAACTTTCTTGCTAATGTTTCAAAATGTTCTATTTTTGGATTTTATGAGATAAGGAACCTAAGGAGGTTTATTGCTAGTGTGTTTTCCAAGACTTCACAGTATTATGCTTATGTATCCTAACAAGAATGAAATCAAAGTAATCATAGTTCACCTAACTACAGGTAAAGAACACTTGATAGTGATCAAGGTTATAAAGAGAAAAGTAAGTGTTTATAACAATAGCACTTACATGACTTAACAAAGTCAAAGCGTTTACAAATTCTAACCTAAGGCTATGTTGAAAGGTTGGTGATGTGAGGGCAAGGTGTCTCAATACTTGTTTTAATGATGTCAAAACATATCTAGTTAGAAATGTGTACTTTAGACGGTATCATCGAGTCGCATATGCATTCATTTTTTTCTCGTGTCAAGCATTTATAAAAAAACATGTGTCTATTCATATAGAAAAGCATTATATGTGTTATATGTGAGTTTGATCATGTTGGTTGACTTAGATGTGCATTAGAAGCAATTAGAAATAGCAAGACATATCAAAATCATCATTTTTGCAAGTTCTGAGTCTTTGAGTCGACTCAAAGTGTGCTTAGGTCGACTCATGTAGAGTAAATTTTTGTGATTTGCTCTTAGGAGAGGTCGCGTCGACCCTCAAGTCGACTCATACTGTGTGTATTTCTATTTGTCAAATCTGGGTTGCTTTGCATCGACGCATGAACCTGTTTCGTTCAACGCAAAGAGTTTTTTCTGCATAATTCTGTATTCGGGAGAGCTCAGGTCGACCCCTTATTCTTTAGGTTGACCATTCACTCGTTTCACACAATTTTTCTATCATGTTTATCTTTCAAAGTGTCTGTTATGTTGGTTATTTGGTCAAAGCTTTGCATATATATTGTGTTAGCTCATTCTTCATAAAAAAACAAGAAAAGTGAAAATATACACTGATTCTGCTCTCATCATCTTCATCCCCTTTCTTACATTTTCTCAACAAATACACATAATCATTTTTGTTGTGCATTCTGCATCATTGAGGTGATAACGTCCAAACATAGGATCGATGTATTGGGTTTGGGTTGAGAGATCAGTGGGGTTTTCTTAAATAAATTCGTTAGGGTTTTGTCCTCCAAGAATCTTAGATTTTGGGGGTTTTGCACAAATCGTTCCTTCATAGATTCAGCCGAGTGAAGGTAATTGTAGAACGAGAGGTTCGTTCAATTTAGTAGCGTTAACTGGAGGATTATGGAAGGAAGGTTTAGGTTCGAATTATGGATGTTTGAAATCATCCGGGAAAATAATTGAAGACCGTTGGGTTGTTTAAAGGTGGTGCCGCA